CTCATGATTGAAATATTTTGTATTTTATGGTGCACGGAATGTCCTCATGTCCCTTGCTCATGTTCTGTGACTGTATGTAGATGTACATGTACATTATTAATGTTACACATTTTATAGGTGCTATGTCAGACCTACAATTAAAGAGAGAGCCGACTCCGCCTGATATCAAAGTTCAAAGATCATCCTCTAGCGTTGGGACTGTCATTTAGCAAAATAAAGGCCTCAACAGTAAGTTAATTAGTGTGTGGGTGGGTGAGTGTGATTTATGCTTGCATTATTCCAATTAGCTAATCTTGGGACTTTGACAAGAGAGTCAATAAGAGCATCAGGAACCAAAGTAAGTTGTACACAAAATGATGTCATGAATTATGTCTACTTCTCTCTCTCTCTCTCTCTCCTCCACCTTCAGTTCAACCACAGACTATCAAAGAATTCAGATGAGCTCTTTCCATCAACATCACATGAAGAAGTACATCTATACAGTCACACACTTATAATAATAATAATCAGTGTGTACATTATATAAATTATCACCATCATTTTACCATTTCTTGCTATTTTATTTTTCTCTTTCTCATTCGCAGCTCCTCGGAGACGAGCCGGAAAGAGAATGTAAGTTTATTCTAATTATAGAGCACTTAACAGTACCTCAGTCAATGATGTCAAGTTTGCCCCTAGACATCTTGGCCTGATGCTGGTAGGAAAGGAGCTTCTGTGACTAATAATGGTTGTACTTATGCGACTTGTTCATCTGATGGGAAGCTAAGGATTTATGAAGCACCTGATGTCATGAACCTATCGCAATGGCTGTTAATGGTAAGAATATGCTATTCAAAATATAATTATTGATTTTCTTACTGTTATTTAGCATGTTTTAAGTTGTAAGATCGGTATGAGTTGTCTCTCATGGAATCTGTCAAGGTAAGTATTAGGGCCTGAAATAACAGTCGGACATTTTAGAATTCTCTCCAAGTCAATTTTGCAAAAATTTGGCTCAGGACTTTGGCCTAATTTTTGAGCAACTTTAAAAGTTCTTAAAAAATCTAAATTTGATTGGAGCCAGCTCAAACTTTCAACATACCGTATGGCTAGAAAATTCCGTGGGGTATTTAATTTCGCGGATTTCGTGGGTAACTTCTTAACCACGAAAATTAATACCATGGAAATGCTCACTGCGCATGCGCAGCATGTGAAAATCAATGACTTAATGCAGGTGCACGTGCAAAAACGCAGAATTTAACTCCCTCGAAATTAAAGAATTAAGAGCTTTTCCCTAAAACACGAAAATTTATGCCCTCGAAATTTTCTAGCCATACGGTACAAACGTGTATATGTATCAGAAAAAAATTATAAAATGAGAAATTATCTACTTTTCATTTTTGGTGAATTTTGACCAAATTCCCTGTACTGTAGTACAGGGACTTTAGCCTGATTTTTGATCAACTTTAAAAATTTGTAAAACCAAATTCATTGTTTAAATGTAATTTGAGGCTCAGAGTATAAAATTGAATTAATGGCTCCCTCCATGCACACATTCCAACAGAGCACACCCTTTAATGGTAGTAATTGGCACTGATGACCCCAGTCAAGCTTGCAACACATATTGAAATATTTGAGTTCAGTGGAGATCCAAAGTAATTTAATACAAGCACCGTATTTCCTTAAATAAAAGCCTGGGCATCTATTTCCTAAAATGGTATTTGTATAAAAAATAAAAAAAATTAGGCACAGACCAGGGTTTGAACCCGTGACTTCTGGAACTTCAAGCATTATCCACTAAACTACTAAGTCACTCCTCAATTAACTTTGCATATTTATAGTTAAATTATATTGCTACCCCAGCATTTATTCAAATGCAGCTTTTATTTAAGGACATATGGTACTTACATGATTTTTATTCTCTCGTGTTAGGAAATGGGTTAATATTCACAGCATACATGTAGTTGAAGTTGTATTTGAGCCTGTTCACAACTTTGCCTTTGCGCCGAGCCTAGGAAGGTAAGATGTTGCTTTTGATTTGACTTGTGGTATTTTTGCTCCATTATTATGAAATAGAACTCATCACATATTAGCGATTGCTTCAAAAGACATTGTTATTATACACCTGGTACCTGAGGGGTAAGAGCTTATACCTGGCATTACTGGACTCTCTTCTCCACCTTTCTCTCTTTCCTTCCAGTACTGATTCCTCTGGTCACGCTAAACTAGAGGTAAGGACCCCAGCGCAGTTAGATCATAAAGGCAGTCAAGTCTTGAGGGTAATAATAATTATTAATTAATAAACTATAATAATCATTCTCAAAATAGTATATCCGCTAGCTCTGATAGGTAGACAGAAAAGCTCATTAAAGCTGGAGTGTTTCACACTCTTACTCCTTTAACCCAACATTATGGACTCCTGGTATATATCTACTTTTTGCTGTTGATGTAATTTGTTTATGTTTCATTCCTTTCCTTTATGGTCGTTGCTGCCGCTATCATGTTACCTTCTCTCTGTTTGATAACTTAGGGAGTAAGTTTATGAGGAGGGGAACTAGTGTGTGCTAAAGCAGAGGAGGACCAAAATGATTGGATTTATTATTATTATTATTATTATTATTATTATTATTATTATTAATTTATTATGATAGGGTTCAACCCCATTACATTTAGCTGCTGAGGCTGGCCATTGCAGAATGATTAAAGTCTTAGTCAATGAATACAGTAAGTCCAATTGTTCGTTGTACTTTACTTTAACATTATACTCTTTTTCTCTTCTCCTTTCCTCTCCCCTCCTTATCTCAGATGCTCCCATTAATGTAAGGGATCACTGCGGTCTACGGCCAATCGATGTTGTCCATGAATGGGCCCCAAACTCTATTAAAAGTAATTAATACTATTGTTTGAAGCAATCAAATGTTTGTTGTTTATTTATTTTCATGGATAACCATGTATGTGTACATAGCATGTTGCATAGCTATGTGGCAGTTGGTTTTATTTTGCGGAAAAGATTATTTATATGTACTTAAACATGTACTGTACTATAGTAGGGCCACACTGACTTTGCCATTTTACAATTTGAATAACTTTCTTATTTTAAGTGCTATAAACGGTGGTCTTTCACTGTTGTGCAATGCTTGGATTTTGGGTTCCTTTGATATAAGATAATAGTAGAGCGAAGCTTTTCAAAGTGAAAGAAAAGTCAAAGCACGAGGCCACTTAGAAAGTACTTACGCCATTACTACCACCTACGCTTTGTGAACATGTGGGCAATAAACTGACTGGAAGAAAAATGGCGGTGATTCAACAGCAGAGGGAACGGGAAGGAAATAAGATGAAAAGGAGAAGGAATATGACTGAAATCACAGGCGAAGACAATTAGAGGCAACGTTTAAGAGGAAAGCATATGCTACTCTTGTTTTAAGACAATAAAACTGTTCAAACACTGCCCGTTCAGCCATGCAGATGGTTTTCTCTTCTTTGAGGACCACTACTGGCAGAATGATAGGCTTGATGTACAAGCAAGACTTAGTGTGTCTGAGTGTATTTGTTACTCATGTCAGTTGTGAATCCAGTGATGAACCTGATTAGATGAGCGATTCCACCAGTCAGGTAGATGGCACCCAAAACTCGGCCTTTCTCTATGATATTGTGGCTGCAACTGACAAGACCATTTGACTATTTTTATCTCTAATTTTTATATACTTTTGGTTTTAATAATAATTACAAATGTGCTGTATTTTTTAATTACATTCTTAGTGGTAAACATTAAAATAAGCAAATACTTAACAAACACTTATTCATAATTGTCAGCTACTTAAATGATGACCTATGAAGGTTGAATTTATAATAAGTGGAAAAGTCAACGTGGCCCTAGTATAGCATTGATTAGCTACCTATGTTTTGGTAAAGCCCTTTTTTACTAGACTCTCAGTCATGCCCAGTATTTCTGTCCTCGTACGTCACCCCTATTGATGCGTATTATGGTACATGCTATATTGACAATGCAATATAAATTGAAATTTCAATATTTCCGTTATTTCATTGAAAGTAGGAGTGGCCACAAAAAAATAAAGTGGCAATCAACACACGGGAATTAGAAGCCATGAATTTCCTACTTCCTAGCACAACAAGATAAGCAAACACATCGTCCAAAGACTTCTCCAACTGCTTCATAAGTTACAGGTGCGATTAAGTAACCTTTGTCACTGACTCGACTAAACTAGCCAGCCTTTTTATCTCTCATGGCTATTTCAAAGTCAGTGTAGCAAGGCTTAAGCAACAGACAAGTCAAGAGGTTTCATAGCGGCAACAGATTCTGCTTTTTCAACAGCTACAAATCTATCAGGCTGAGCCCTTTAATGTTTTACATTGTTTCTAGTTATAGATATTTGCTCATAACTTGAAAATTATTTGTCAGAAACAGCTCAAACTTTCTACATAGCATAAGGGCATTAATATGTATCAGAAAATGTAATAAAAATTTGGAGTGTTTTCAAAACCATATTTCAAAACTTCATTTTGTGGGTATTGTAGGTAATCTGTGGTTGTGGCTTTAGGAGTATTTAAATATAGTGTCGGCATCAGTGTGTATCCATTAATGTTCAGGCTTCTGGGGTTCTGCCAGTTACATTGGGTGTGCCTCTGCTATTCATTATCTTCATAAATGATGTGCCATCTTTATTATCTTCTCCCACTGCTCTGATGTATGCTGATGATACCAAGTGTACCTGACATTTTATAGCATCATTAGCTGTTCCTGGGACTATGTTGCATCATGGAAGATTACCATCAAAACAGTGGGGATCTGTTGGTCATCTTACTGAGAGAGACCCACATGATAAAAAGGTATTATTATTATCCTGAAAAATGCCTGAAATTTCATTAATAATTGTTTATGTTTTTTATTTATAATTTCACTGTCTCATTCTTTTTTTTGTAGAACAAGTCAGGAAGGCTAAATGGCTCACCT